AGAATGAGTCTTCCTATGTCACCGCCTACTGACTGCCTAAAGGTATGTTTCATGGTAATAGAGTGGACATTTTGGGTGCCGGGAATTGAACCCAGGACCTCTTGCGTGTTAGATATGTGTTCTACCCTTCAGTTACTTCCAAACTCTCTTTGAAAGAAAAGAATATGATCTTTTAAACTCCCCTTTATTATTTATGGGACATACTTTAGGTGCTATGAAACTCTTACAAACTATGCTTTGAGCCCAAATTCCATGGTTTTAAACATCACTGGCACTCACCGGTCTTTTTTTCCTCTTGTTTGTTTTGACTTTCGTCTTATCGATAATTCCAACATCCACCGAAGGTTAGCCTTGCTAACTTTTTCCTCTGAGAAACCACAGTACAATGAGTAAGAGCAAATATAAAGGAGGGTTTTCAGAGTCGGAGCTTTAGTGAGTACTTCGTGTACTTGGTCTATTTGACTGTTGTGAAGCAGATGTTATCTGCATCTCACCTCACAGAGGACTGAAGGGAAGCCTGGGATGGTCGGATAGCTTGAGAGGGGTCCCAGAGAAGCCTAGTGCAGAATGGGAATGGGTTCCTTTCTGAAGGGTACAATCAAGCACCGGGTTCAAATGTGAAGGTAGCTCTGGATTTCACAGCCCAAGGGCTTAACTCCCAGGCTATCCTTCCAGCTCTGTGTTATCTCTTCCTAAGCATGTAATTATACTTTCATGAAAGTATTGTCTGTCCCCTGCTTTGTGTGTACCATATACTCCTCTGACTTCCGTGACCTCTTAGAGGACAGGGACAGTAGTGTATAAGTCATTTAAACTGACCAGGAGGCACCAGCATCTGTGGAATGAGTGATATTTTCCTTCAGAATGTACCGGTGTCTCCATCTCAGGGTCTCTTCATCAGCAAGGGAAGAATATTTTGAGTGTTTTCTAGATCAGAAAGACATTCTTGCTCTCTTTTGTTGGGGTCACTTTTAGTGATAATATCTAATACAAATCACCTTTGTCTGACTCTTAGATAAGGGATCATTCTTCAAGTGTTGTGTTCGTAGTAGAAATTTTATCTTCTTTCTCTTTGGGGGGACTAAAGGTGAGCTTGTTCAATAAGATCTGTCTAGTGCTAAGTGCAACACAGAATGTGACTAGCATTGTTAAGGAGGAGAAATAAAATACTGTGCCAATATGAAACAATGTATGCGCAATGATTCCATGTTGTAGTGGTCAACAGTGCAAGCATTTATAGCCCCTAAGACTATAAGGAAATTAATTTATTTTAATTTTAAGTTCCCATAACAAATGCTTATACTTGTAAACATCCGTTCCATTCTCTAGCTCCCTTTAGTATATTAAACTATGAGTTAGGGTACTTATGGTGAGTGTGAGTGAGTGTGTATGTGTGTGTGTGTGTGTGTGTGTGTGATATACATATGCACATACCTTATATATTGAAATGTATATAATGCAAAACAGTATATATAAGTTCTTGGGCTATAATGCGTGCTTGCTGTATAGGTGAAAAAAACCGGGACTCAGGTATTACTTGATAAATTACAGAGATTATTCAAGACATATGCCCAGGGCTCCAGTTCAAGACAGATTTCAAGTCAAGTGAAGTCCTTCTGTTTAGTCTTGGCTTTTATGGCTAAGAGCTGTGGCCCATTCTAAGCAAGAGGAGGCAGCACAATGGTCAAAAGCAAGTTGTATTCATTCTAGAAATAAAATAGAACACTCCTGTTTCATTCCCAGCGTGTGTTTTAGAGCTTTCAAAGCTCAGAGTATGGTCTAGTTTGTGACTCCTCTTCAGACCATGTAATGTCTTCCCATATATGTACTATATGGATTTCAACCTCTGATCTCACTCTACAAACTGTCACCAATACACAGCTGCACGATAAGCGAAGGGCATCTGATTTCACAGACTTAGCAACAAGTACAACCTGCCTTTATAGTACTGGTGATGGAATTTCCATATATAAGCACTTTTTTCTTGGTAGCCTGATTGTGACAAATGCTCTTTGATACCTTAGAGTGGATGAAATTATTAGAATTACCCCCTGTAAGCAGGAGTTGAAAACAGAAGAATTTGGGGTATCAAAGCAGGAGTACCAGAAGGGTGTAACTGGTTCAGTTGTTCCATGGATTGCAGCCCTCAAAAGAATGTTCAAGTTCTAACCAACGATGCCTATGAACATGGTCTTATTTAGAAAGGGGTCTTTGCAAACCTCCCTGAGCTAAGAGGAGGTCATAATGGCTAGTTTCTTAACAAGAGACAAGAGTACAAACTGAGATGGCTCAGAAGGTAAGAAAAAGCTACTACTCTTGCCTGAGGTCTTACATTGGGTTACCAGCACACATGCTGAGTGTCTCACAACCACCTGCAATTCTAGCTCCAGGTGAACTGATGATATGTGTGGATCACACAGACACCTGCACCACACAGACACCTGTAACACACAGACACCTGAGCCACACAGACACCTGCACCACAGACACCTGCACCACACAGGCACCTGCATCACACACACACCTGCACCACACAGACACCTGCACCCACACAGATACCTGCACCA